TCCATATTTGACCCAAAGTTGGGTTGAAACAACCCAGCATTTTTTTAGACTGTGTGTGTGTATATATATATATATAACTTGTATAACAAATAACTTTATCCTGCAAATCACTTTCAGGTGTGCAACGTTTATAAATTTATGAATTATATTAATTATTATTATTGTTTTTATTTTTATTTACCTTAAAAAATAATTTGTGCACTGCAATTTTCTTGTTGTGAAAACAAACTCCTTGGAGATTGTTGGCCTAAATTCAGCATCTTTGGACCTGACAGCTCCTATAATGACAATATATATAATATAAAATCGTAAACAAAAAAAAAATTATTATTACAATTAAAAAAAAAAAAAGAAAAGAAAAGAAAGAAATGGCGTGCTCCAATGGAGTTACTGAATATCAGTTCCTGACTATAATTCATCATTTTGATTTCGTAATAACAAACACAAAGCTTTGATGGAAACAAGTGTATGTTCGACCATTACGCACGGCGTAACTCGTTTATCCTTCAGCCCATTCACGGGTTCACCAGAGCTCCTACTCTAATAATGCAGATTAATAGAAAAGTAAACAGAATCATCGGCGAGTTGTCTCTACTAATAGCAAGGATGAACAGCTCCCCTCGCTACTGCAAGGCCATTGGACATACCTGCTGTCAAGGTAAGTGGCCCAGACACTTCAATGTAAATACTCATGGCGACAGAGCGGCGATGCCTCAGGATGAGCCGCTATAGAGAGTGCTGGACAAGAGATATGAATCTACAGAGAGGATTTCTGGACGAATATCAGGACAGGGTGTGGTTAGCTCCCCTAAACAGTGTGTCATAGGCCAAATATTAGTAGTTGGATGGCCAGATTTCTGATAACTACAAGCTAAAAACTGTTGGCTTGACCGCATTTGGTTAAAATAGTATAAATGCATTGTAATAGTTTTAGAATTCTGAAATTATAACTACTGAAATATCAGTAGTCCTAAATCAAAGGAGGAAAATAGCTATGTGGACTGGTTATCTGCATATTCGGAACACAAGAATTATTTTAAGAATTATTTTAAGAGAACATGAGGTCAAAGCTATAAGTCCACTGAATTCATCTTCTAAGCTGTAAAGCGGGCAAACAAGAAGAAAATAAAAGTAAATAAGCTGACTGAAATTGAAAGGACATTAAAGTGATGATAATTATTGAAACCATGGGTAATAAAAATAGAGGAAAAGAGAGAATGTGTGATGAATACAGTTGCATAAGCATAAATCACAACATCTGAATGTTTCGCGTTTTTATAACCCTATGTTGATCTCAAACATCACAACCTGTATGATGTAACCAATGAACAACATATTTACTAAGGAGGAAGGATATTTGCAGACAAAGAATTATTAACAGGCCTTAAATTTGCCACAAATCTCAAGGTGATAAATGGCATATCTTAAGAGAAATCTACAAAGGTTGAGTACTACAGCTTTGGGTGTTATCCTAAATGTAATTTATACTGTCAGCACCTTTACACTGGGAGCTCAGGATGGAAAGCGCCCCCTGCTGGTCCCGTCACATCCGTCATCCAAACGCATGTTCTTTATACAAAACGAAGACATTTTTAATATACGATGAAGACGAGATACCTGACAAGACTGCCATTTTTTCAAGGACCTGAGAATGTGATACAAAATACAAAATAAAATACACTTAAATACAATATAAATGTGTTTTAGACTAGAAACCTCTCTGACATCTGAACAGAAGAGAAATAAACTTGGCCACTGAATCTGATGTGTAATTGCCAAGATGATTTTTTTTTCTGCTGCATCTGACCTGATGAATCAGATTGTTTCTTCAGAGTGAAAAACATTTACAACATTTCAGACCTCCCAATATGGTGATATGGCTTACTCAACATAAACAACAGCAGAGTAATATTTATTTGGTTGACCGTGGTGGAAGTGCAAACAAAAGAAAAGCATCCTGCTAAAAGTTGTTTTAAAAATGTTTTAAACATGAGCCACTTCACAAGATCTGGCCCAGTTTGGTTTGTGAGCACGTATATGTGAAACATTCCACCAAATATATACAAGTGCAGCAAGTTTTTGTCATATTTTTGCCTTAAAGAATGAACTTTTAACTCAGAGTATGTGCACGTATTTTATACAAAGAAAACGGGATATCTTTGTTGAGCATCAGAATCTGTCATTTGGAATAGGGTGAGTGAAAAACACTCAATATACCAAATTAAAGGCATAATTAGCCCAATATGTCACTGTAGGCATAAAATACTTACAAACTTAAAAAAAAACAGAAAATCAAGCCCATGCACTTGGCGATCTCTGTTTCATTCATAACAGTATATCATAATAAAAATGCTGTCTTTATCAGACTGTATACCATGAAATGATGTTGTCACATAGAATTGTTTAAATAAAAAAAGTTGACTTTTTACGAAAGCTGGAAAATTCATTGCTAGTTTCCAGCTGGTTCAAGCCATTAGCTGCTCAAACACACAGACATCAGCTGGCCACATGGAGGTGCTACAATCATATTTCTTGAAAACACAAACGAAGAACAATGGCTTTGAGAATCATTAACAACAAACTGAGATTTACTTCATAATGCCATACAGTCGAAATACTCACATTCACTGGAACTTCGCTGTAAGCAGTTAGTGTGATATTCTGTATAAATCAAAACCTGGAACCGAGAGAGATTTCACAAAACATCAGTATGAGTTATCAATATTACAGGCAGGCTGAAGAGCGTTTATGCAATAGACATTTGAATTGAAATTAACGTTATAAGTGCTTTACAAATAAGCATTCACGAAAAAAAATAAGCATATAAAGCAAAATTATTAAAAAATACATTCTTGAATTCAAGATGCAAAAGTAAAATCCCATTGCTAAAAAAAGAATCAAGCTTGCTTGTTAGCTAGCGTATGATCAGTGTGAACAGACAATAACGTTTACATTTGACAAAAGAGCATTTCGAGGGAAAAGCTGAAGAATAAACGTTTCAGTTCTCCAGACGAAAAAACTTCGTATTTTGTGTTTCAAATAATGAATGCGTTTTAGAATTTAAATGATTAACAACATGCAAGTACATATCTAATACATTACATATAGTTAATATAATAACAAAAAATATATACTGCGTGAAACGGTATTGCATTTTTTAATTTTATTTTCTTTTAGTCCGTTTTATTCAGCGTTACCTTTGAAATTATGACCCCACCAATGGTATTTGGTATTTATATATTTATTGTTTGTTTGTCCGTCCGGATATAAAGTTCAGGACACATCAAAAAAAAAAAAAAAAAAAAAAAAATCATACAACTATACAACTCTTCTAATAACAATGCATCGTGATTTTCCCCCTTGAATTCAATAATGTCTACATGAACTGTCCACACACAAAAAGAGAATTTCATCTCTTCCGTGAATAAAAGAGAACAGAAATGGTGGCGTAAGTTGTTTGACATAATTTGTCAAAATGTTGTCAGCCGAATCAAAGTCAGTGTGGCGTAACCAACATGCGGGAAGCCATTTTGCTGTCCTTTGACAAAATAATCATAATATAGAGAGGGTTTCATATAGACCTTCATGACTCTGTATCAACCCTTACGAAAATTAACCATGGTTTTACTACAAAAAACATGGTTAGTTAAACCGTGGTAACAAATTAACCATGGTTTTGCTACACTAACCATAGTTTAACAATGGTATTTGTTTAGTAAAACTATGGTTATACAAATGGTAATCAATACGCCATGGTTAATTTTCGTAAGGGAAGGTCATAAGGTTTTTCTTAAAATTGTCAGATATGTTGACCATATTTATTGAAAAACGCGTTTTCGTGACGACTGGAGTAGGCTAATCTAAAGATTTTTCCATATTGAACAGAATGTTTGAAAACGTTTTTTTTTTTTTAATGATCAAGTGTACACTTGCGTGTATGAAAGGAGCTAATGTTTTAGTATTAACCTAGTTTTTTTTATTTTTAGAAAATGCTATAAGCGTTTTTCAAAAAACTTATAAAACAACAACAAATACAAAGAACACATATACAGCAATGTTTAAAACTAAATCTAAAAAAAAACAATTTTTTTTTCTTTTTTATCGTCTCGGACATCCTTGTTTGTCATCGAAAAAATGTCTTCAAACCCAACAAAGCCAGAAAGAGCATGTGGTAGTAAACAAGTAAACAGTTTCGATGGGTGTTCAATTCTACACGTCTAGTTTAGAGGGAGGAGCGAACTGCTCCAGAAAGCCCATTGGCACTGTGTCTGGAAAGGGAAGAGAGGAAACTGATGCACACATGGCATTTTCTGACATTTGCTCGTTGATTGGGTCAGAAGACGTTTTGCCGCAATGAAATGACACGCAGAGAGGAAAGCAATTATACTGTGAACTAATTCACCGCCATGAAAGCGCAGGAGCTTCCCAGATAAAAGCGCAAAACTACAGGCCATCGAGCAGGTTACGTAGGGTATGTTTTAAATGGCGAATAACCGCACCTCCTTTTCCATTCACAACATATTAAACCGAGGACCTGCTTGCGAGAAAAATAGCGCTCTTGATGAGGAATACGCAGATGAGCAGGTTCACGGAGAGAGAGAGACGCGGGTTTGTTCAAGCTCATCTCTGCCGGTGGGGACCGCTGGAGCTGAGCGCATCTCTTCCTGTGTGCTCGGGCTGGACTCCTCATCCTCTGACCAGCATTCATGTGAGGAAGAATCAACAGGAGAAGACAATTCACTCGAAAGACGACACGGTGAGACATTAAGACCACTTCACGTATATATAGCCTAGATGGGAGATTGGGTAGTGTTGTAAAACATTTAGTTATTATTACCATGTTTTTTGCACTGTACGTGTGGCAAACTTTGATATTCCCATATTTGTCTGCTACAGATGAATACACTGTGTAAATTAACGTCAATAATAAGAGTGCTGTTATCAGTAGCTGACATTTTTAGACATTGTGCATTAATTTATTGTGGTAATCCATGTTTTCCCTCCCAAAAATAATACATTTGCATCACTCAATTTCAGCTTAAAACATTTTTATTAAAAACGGCACACGTATATGAAGCATTTTAAATGCAACTGGAAACAATTATATAAGTAAAACAGAGACTAATCTTTAACATAACAAATGTGTGTATAGTCGCAATTGTGACAAATATATATGAGCTAATAAACATTTTTATTTTTTTATTTGTGGGTCCAATATAACAAAATTAAACATCATATCATTACACACAACATCACACATGATACAAATCTAAGACATAAATGAAATGATAATTTCTTACCCAAAAAACGGTTTTTGTCTTGTAAATACCTGTAAATATTTTTACACAGAGAAACATTAGATTTATATAGAAATTAGATTTATAATCATGTTAGTGAAAATTAAATGACAGGACTGGTATCTTCAGCGTTCTTTTTTAATAATAGTTTTTAATAATATTTGATCAAATAACATCCACACAAGCTTTTAATATATGTTAACACCTTTTTTTATGCCTTTTAATTGTTAGTCCATATGATTTATGTATTTCTATATTTGTTTCCAATTTTATTTTCTGTTTAAAGTAAAAAGAAAATGAATTAAATGATTTAAAATTACAGAGGACTGGCATAATTATTGTGAAGAAGTATTTGATTACAACAATAAATTAATTTACAACATTTAACATATTCATGTTTTAAATTATAGCTCTGCACTTGACACTAATTTACACAGTTTATATATCAAAGTAATATGTGACCCTGGACCACAAAACCAGTCATAATAGTCAATTTTTCTGAATAAATAAGCTTTCTATTGATGTATGGTTTGTTAGGATCGGACAATATTTGGCCGAAATACAACTATTTGAAAATCTGGAATCTGAGGGTGCAAAAAAATCTAAATACTTAGAAAACCGCCTTTAAGGTTGTCCAAATGAAGATCTTAGCAATTCATATTACTAATCAAAAATTAAGTTTTGATATATTTACGGCAGGAAATTTACAAAACATCTTCATGGAACATGACCTTTACTTAATATCCTAATGATTTTTGGCATAAAAGAAAAATTGATAATTTTGACCAATGCAATGTTTTTTTTGGCTATTGCTACAAATGCAAGCGACTTAAGACTGGTTTTGTGGTCCAAAGTCACATATATCAAAATTTAAGACAGTACAAAAAGCCCGAGGTAAAGAAGCTGAAGTCACTCCTCAATATTGTACGACTATTTTAAGATTTTAATTTTCATATGGACTACTGTATGTAACACAAAGGCCTGTGATTTTCCAAACAAAGCCTAAACCTCTTTTTATCCATCTATACAGACATGGACCAACAGAAATCACAGAGCCGCAACTTTGAAGATAACAACCCCAAATCGAGCAAAAAAAGGTCACGGGCAGCGTTTTCTCACGCACAAGTATACGAGCTGGAGCGGCGCTTTAACCTGCAGCGGTACCTGTCCGGCCCAGAGCGGGCCGACCTGGCAGGAGTGCTCAAACTGACCGAGACACAGGTGAAGATCTGGTTCCAGAACAGGAGATACAAAACTAAGCGCCGACAAATGGCAGCCGAGCTCGCGTTAACTCCTACGACAACACTGGCAAAGAGAGTGGCAGTGAAAGTACTGGTGAGAAACGACCAGAGGCAATACAACGCCGAGGAGCTGCCCAGTCCGTCTGTTCCTCCATTATACCAGTCATTCCCTTACTATCCTTACATGTTCTGCTTCCAGCCGTGGGTCTCAGGAAACACTTTAAGTGGTGGTCTGTACTGATTTACCGGAGCTGTAGCATCATATGGAAAGTGACTGTGGAGACACAAACAGTCAAAAAACAGCCAAAGAGGAAACAAAACTGCAATTCCACCGTGGATTATCAATGCTGAAACTATAATAAACTATATGACCAGAGGAATATAGAGATATACTGATGTTCACTATCAATCATTTCAATAATGATCATTAAGCCAAAGCAAAGACAATTCACTCAAACGAGTTGCTCTCATTTGTAGTTATATCCGTCTTTTTTAATGTTGTACGGTAATGCATTTGGACAAGTAAATTGTATTGCTTTAGATAACAAAATATTAAATTTACCAATTTTGATGCTGTTTTTACTAGATGTAGATGTTTTGACAAAAGTCAGAAAGTGTCTAAATGGTTTTTAGCGTATAATTTGAAACCTAACAATCTTGCGTTTGTAAAATGTTTTGCATTATTGTGCTTTCACATTTTTCAGTTTAATATTTGTTATCTAATGCAAAGGCATTGATGCATTTAAGTGCTGCTTAAGTGTTCAAATGTAGGTCTACTATAAATGCTTTAATATGGAGTGTTTAGCTAGTTTAAAAGGAGTTTTTCTGTTAGCATTTGTCACTGATTAAAGTTCTTGTTTATTTCCATCACAATGGAAAATACACTCTATAGTGCACTAAGTCTTCTAATGTGTCAACTGCTTTAATTCAATGCTTAAATCCAGTCTTAAAGTCACTGTGTTGAACAGAAAAATACAGGTTTAAAAAAAAAGAAGAATTAAGCTGTCTTGAGACAAACTAACCGCAAAAGCAGAAAGCTTAAAGTGGGTTTGTCAACACAACACACAGAGATAAATGCCTTAAAGGCAATAATTTAAGAGGAAGAACTCATCAAAAGATTCTTTGTAAATAATGGCTTGACAGGTGACAGACTATCATACAGATAAAAGCCAATGAAAACACCATCGGTAACATTAAAGTAATAATTCAATACAATTTTAGATAAACCAACACCAAAATCTCTTATTGAAACCATAATGAATTCACAAATATGAAAAGTGAGCCAATCTGGGATTAGAAATACCAAATGATCTAGAGTCTGCCCTGTCTCTGACCTCGCATGCAAGACTGCCGTACATTTTCACGAACAACAACAAAGTCGGTCAGACTGTTTTGACAAGTCTGCAGTCCTGTGTTTGAGAAGGACAGTATCACTGTAAGGTCAAACACGTTTACAAATGAAGTGTTGTTTACGTGCCAAATAACATGCTTTTAAAAAGGGTTTATATGAGATTATTCAACAGCAAACAGTACAAATATAAACATCTATTTGTCTTTATTTCTTTCTCCAATATCAAATCGCTTATATATTAATTAAATATCTAAAATACTGAAATACATGCATGATTTAAATAAAAACTCTAAAATTTAAATGAAATCATCTGCTGATTAATTTCTTTTCATTGACTATCACTGTAAAATGTTTTTCAAGTAGACAAACAATTATTTAAATTTGCTTTACAAAAATAAAAAAATCTATTTTAGTCATTTTACTTAAATATTTCACATTTAATTCAATGTGTCACTTTTCTCTGTGATTTGTTTAGCAATTTACAAGCAATTTCTGAGTGAAAATTGTTTTTCAGTGCCCTAGTGAAAAAAAAGTACTAAAAATTATTTGAAATACATTGATTTTTATTAACTTACATTTATTTTGTACTTTTGGTATACTAACCTGCAAACTTAAAGTCTGCTAAATTGGAACAACTAATGTGCTTAATACGCTTACAGAAGTAGGTCCAAATAAAGATATACTTACTTCAGGTACACTTTAAATATCTTGCATTTAAAGACTGATATTACACAGAGATCATACAATCCTTATTAATAGTGATATCAAAGCACAATTTGGGCATACTATTAAGAAATGTGCATTGTGCAATTAAGAAATACTCCCAAAAAAAGTTTAATAAAAATTTTACATCAGTAAGTCTTAAGTGATGTGTCAATAAATATGTTAACAGATTTGAACTTCGCATGAAATAAATGTATTTTAAATAAATTATGGCATATGATTTTTTATTTTTATTCTTTTGCTAGGGTGGAAAGCAGATCATTTTGCAATAAACTGATTCATATTTAGCCAATTAATTTAGCCTGTTCATTAACTGTAATGAATATCTGAAGTGTTCAGGTAAGGATGATGAGATGTGTGTTATCCCACGTGACTGAGACTGTGCTGCCTTTCACACACACCCGAGGATTATTCAGCTGTTTATTGCAGTAAAAAAAAAAAAAATTGTTGGGAGCGAGAAATATAATTCTATTTCAACCATCACAATATAAAGCAGTTCACATGGGTTTAAGCAGCCCTTTCGTGATATCTGCATGATTCAGATACTGTCAATAGACCATGTCTATGTTGCACAACAGAGTCTGGCTAAAGCCCAGAGCACATTAATCGTGTGCTTGAGGAGACAACACCCTCATAAAGGCGAGAGAATGGAGGTTCAGTATCACCAAAATACAGCATCCATATGCAAACACACTTTGAGACCTTCATCCACTACAGCAATGTTTTACACATAGTCAATCAAGATTCATGGATGAAATCATAGTAACAAACCATGTATTGTTCATTTTGTGAGAGCAAAACACGGATTTCCGTTTACAATCCTCCAACAGAGTACAGAAAGAAAATAACTAAAGTGCACTAAAATATACTTTTATGCCACCTGTGTACCATCAGTACAGAGTGTGCTTGGATAAACGTTTACTATAATGAAATGCAAAAATGCTAGTAAATATAATGCTTTAACAATACTTGCAAAAATATAAGCCTATTGAAAAAAAAGTAGAATCTATATTAACTGGTTTATTTAGCATCACTGAATCAACCTAAATGCATTCATTTATTCCAACAAAACTAATTTTAATGAATTAAATCATGTAAAAAAAAATAGCTCTTCAAGGTAACAATTTTACCATATTTTACGGTGTATGAATATTAGGAAGAATAAATGAACCATGGTGTTTTTTCTAACCCAATTAATGTCTACAATATCAGTTTCTTTTCTAGTAGCTGATTTTGCGAAGATGTTGTTTTGGTGTATTGAATGCTTAAATGTCTCCCAAGTTTCTGTATATTCTTTTTGCTTTCAGTTATAATCTTTTTTTATGATTAAAATAGTTTAATGATGATGGCCTTTATAAGGCCTAAAGTACTCTAGACCTCTCCACAAACACGTGAATAGATCAGCTTCTGAAGAGGAATTAGGGCGCAGTTGAGAGCCATATGGATGTCTGTGTTTATACAAAAAAAAATGTATCGTGAAAAAGTATGTAAACACAGTTTTTGAGTAGAGCAGACGATTTGTGCAGACTAGAGTGAGCAGGCTTCACAAAGACAACAAAAGCGGTTGGGAGAGTTCGCCCACTGCATACACATTATTACCTGCTACGACAAACCCCCTCAGCAATTAAGCCTCACAATGACAGGGGGAAAAAAAAACTCAAATTGTTATTTTGCCGACATTCACTCCGACATTCATCAGTGAGGAAATGAAAATAGGTGAGACAAAGAATTGATTCAAAACACATCAACCATGAGTCGGACCCTCCCAGATCAACTACTGAAGAACAAAGTGTCTGTCTTCAGCCAGGACACTGATTGAGGGATTTCGCACAAAGAACTGTAAGTACTTCCAGAATGTCACACAATTTCCTTGATGAGCAATAAAAAAGGATCAGAGATTCATTATTTCTGGGATGTCTTTTTTTTTT